TGCGAGACTTTGAAGTCTTGGGCGGGGTTGGCAACGATAAAGCGCCACAGATTAGGTTGATTCCAGTCTGAAAAGTATTCTCGTCGATAAGCCCGATTGTCTAGTCTAGTAATAACGATTGAAAACGGGTAGAATAGAAAACGATAAATAACCTTTTCCCAAAGTTTCCCCATCACATTGTTCATACCCTCTTGCTGATAAGCGCCATCAGCGCTCAGCCAGAAGTGAATGCTCCGTTCACAATGGATTCCTATCACCTGCAACAACGAGTTCACAAATTAAAGTCCTGAGAACCCGAGATTTCGTGTTTAGAGAATTTGTTTACACGTAAACACACAAACCTTCAACATAAACCGCTCTGATCCTGTAATCTCTCGATTATTTATGAGTACATCTGTGTTCCCGTTGCTGGCATCTCTCTTGATCGTATCACCAACCGTTAGCTGGGGACTAATAATTTGACAAGGTTTCCGGCCCTCCTGGTTAACCAAAGCACAAATCAAATGGTTATTTGAAAACCAAAAGAAAATAAAAACGACAGCCACCAAAACTCACAAACAGTCGAGCATATATCGCACCTTTCCCCAAAATCCAGACACCTTATCGTACCAGTAGCTCCCGGGCTTCAACTTCTTTGGCGGATGGGAACACGTTTGCAACATAACCAACTCTCGATGAGTAAGAAGCTTTCCGTTCACGCTGACAAGGTTAGAAGGGAGTTGATTAGCTTTGCAAGATTGCTCCACTTTCATTATCCTTTTAATTTCCGCATCGATGAACAAGCTCTTGAGCATTCCAGAACACTTCCCCAGTGAATCGCGCTTCGTTTCATTAATCCTAAAGCCGATGCAAGTGATGCATTTTCTCCCTTCGGGCATTGCCCCCATAGCTCTCAGCACACATATGTTACAATACTTTGCACGGCAAACTAAACAAACTTCCATCTTCATCATCATCTTCCTTTTATGACACCGAAAACACTTCTTGGAATCACTTATGACCTCTGGCTTTTCTGGGAAAGGTCCCGGATCATCATCATCGCTCTCCGAAGTAGAATAACTTGAATGGATTTCATTGAAAGTCACACCAGGCGTATTTTCTTGGCACAAACTGTCGTCAATACATTCTTCCACTTCTTGGATACTCAAAACCCCTACAGAGGGATCTGGGGAACCCATCGTTGATTCGTCTGAATCCAAGCCAGGGGGCTTGAAATGACGAGTGCAGCCCACATCCACCTTGCAATCATCACACGAGTCCTCATCAGCATCCGAGCTTCCCGAAATCTCATTGGAATCATCTTGAATGTCAGAAAACCCCAATGTACCGGAACTTTCAATACCATCAGAGCCTTTGCAGCCACATTCCTCTCCATAGATAGAATCTAACAAAGCCTTTCTGTTGTCATCTCCCACCGGTTCACACGCTAAATCTTCACCTCCACTCTTGAGTGCACCTAAATTTGGCACAGGAGCCTCCTTAGTTGCCAACTCTACCCCTTTACTTCTCTTGGCAATTGGTTGAATAACTGGAAGTGATAAATTACGACTCTTCGAGAGGGAAGCTGGAGCAACCACGGTTGCTGTGGGAATCCGGTGAAAATCAACCGGAACCACCTGGGGAATATCATAACTCACCGGAGGACCACTATACTCCACCGCAATAGAGTACTCCACATCAAACTCATCCTGATCATCTTTCTTGGATGATGAAACAGGGAATATACTCTTAAAAATACTAGTCATCTTTCCACAATCAATCCAGATTCCTGAAACCCCAGTCCCACTTACAATTCAAATCACAACTCACAACCCCCCTTCAACCATAATTTCAAACAAAAACTCAAAACCCAAAATCTTTCTATATCACTCAGCTAAACTCCAATCAAAACATTGCCCTTTAAAATTTCTAATTCTCTACTTCAGAGCCCCCAAAATCTAAATTTTTGAATACTTAAAATCCCCAGCTTACACAACTCATAAAGATAGGAACTTTCAGCTGCCTACCCCCACATGAACCTCTAAAACCTGAAATCTGAAGGATGAGAACTGTAATTCTGGATTAATCAGAAGAGTCACAGAATACAATACAGGGAATAAACACAAGACAATAGTTACAATTCAACTAGGAGAAGAACTAACAGATCCGTCAATGGCAGAGGAATCAGAAGAGTCACAGAATACAGGGAAAAAAATACAAGACAAGAGTTACAATTCAACTAGGATACATAGAGTCCTAATATGAAGAACCCAGATTTCTATGGCCTGGATTTTTCTATCTTCTACAGTGACTAGTTCATCTTTCGCAGTGGATCAGAATGAAGTGAAATGTGAAACCGTAGTTCTGAGTTTATAAGGCAAAATTGGAAGACGATCTCTGCTACAGTCTTACCAGTAAAAATGAAGACTTTGGGAATTTCGACGAAGACTGACCGTTTCTTCCCCAAGGACCATCACAATTTCAAAGACCCATTTTGGCTTTTTAATCAACTCTACGCGGTTGCTGAGAAATTTTCAGTTGGAAAGTGAGGGAAGGATGATGAGAGTGGACTCTGGGAAGTTTGAATCCGTCTAACGGGGACATTTGCGTAATATTGCGGAGCGGCAGGGGTAAGATTGTACCAAAAGTACAACAGTTAAAGCTATGAAATTTGGCGCTTCGTGGTTACAGGTACTTAAATGTCCGTGGAAGTTTAGAATCTGATTGCCCCTTGGATTGCGTTTGGGATTTTCCGGTTAATAATTAATTTTTTGAAGATTAGGGTTTATAATTTAAGCCATCACGTGTTTGACCCGGCAAGCTGGTCGGACCTTCAGGTCTTTGGTCTGCTCTTAGAACTTCATTAAATGTTTTTTTTCTTAATACACTAAATAGTTAAAAATGAATATAATTAAATTAAAAGAAGGACTATGTGGTCTAATGGTATCCGGTTTGGACTTCCATTTGGAAGGTTGTGAGTTCAAGCCTTAGTGGAGGTGTTATTGGCTCTTTGTGTTTCAGTAGGTATTGGCTCTTTGTGTTTCAGTAGGTTGAGAAAGTATATGAACAGATACTACAATGTAATAGAGCTAGTAGCATTCAAAAAAATTAAAAGAAAATATTTTGTCAATTTAAGGTGACTCAATGAGAGATAGATTATACTTTTGATAAATTTGTAATTTTCAAGTTAAATAATTTAATCTACTTCTAAATTTATTTTTCACGTCAATAATGATACAATCGTATAACTCAACAAATAGCAATGGAAAAATCTCATCCGAGTTGGTTATAAAATTAATTTCTTTAGTACTACTGAATCTGTTACAGTGTGGGAGTTCGACACCCTGTGAGAGCAACAGAAAAGACGAATTTAATCCAAAACACACTTTTTACAAAACAATTTTATTATTTACATTACATAAATAAATTAAACGGTTGTAAATGAACTGATTTTATTATAAATGAATTGAATTAGATAAATTTATAAACAATATTTGATTGGTCAGTCTCAAAACATATGGTGTGATGATTGGTCAGTCTCAAATTAGTGACCACTCAACTAATAGTGAGGGGAAGGTATAGTAGTTAAATTGATATAACATAAGCTTTTATATATTGTAAAACCAAATATGTAGCTTCTAAATACTAAAAACCAACCACTACAATCTACCACCCAATAAACATTAGTCAAATGTCAAATGTTGCAATTATTTGACCTGTATTTTATATCTTGTCGTAATTAAGGTTAGTTTGGGTTCATGAATGTGCATTATTAAACATTTTGGTAAAACTAGTTTAAGGTCTTTGGCTTAAGTATGTAGTTAGTTAAGTGACAATCCTTATAGGCTTATACTATGGATCAGAATTCACATTGTACTGTGAACCTTGATGCATGTGTATGTATTTTATGTTGCGAGTTTTTGTATCTTGCTTGTATTATGAAATTCTGTACCTTAAAAGTATGAATTATGTACATGAAACAAATTAGTAATTGTGTCATATGTTATGAATTTATGCGTCTTGTGTTGTAAAATTTTGTGTCTATTAACCCAAACTATGTATCTAAATCAGATTTGAAAAATATGTAAATATATAACATACGTATGTGTCTTGTGTTATGAAATTATGTACTTTACAAGTATAAATTTTGTACCTATCGTTTGGATTCAGAGTCCATAGTACTATGTAGACCCTGGTCCATGATATAAATTGCGGTTAAGTAATGATGGGAATTGGACCCAACCCTATTCACCAATTAATTTCATATTTAAGATTGAACCCCAAACTTAAGGATAGTTATGTTGTGCATCCGTATGCACCATGCATGGTGCATACGGATGCCAAAACGACATCGTTTTATTAAAAAACGCGCGTCTCCCCTTAAAAAAAATTCAGGTTCGATTCCCAGCAACAACATTATATTGTTCATTCATTCTGGAATTTTAGTTCATAGATTATGGAATTATAGTTCATTGATTATGGAATTATAGTTCATCGATTATGGAATTGTAGTTCATCGATTCTGAAATTTTAGTTTATAGATTATGGAATTTTAGTTCATTCATTCTGGAATTTTTAGTTCATAGATTAGATTATGGAATTATAGTTCATCGATTATGGAATTATAGTTCATCAATTATGGAATTTTAGTTCATATGTTGTTGCTGGGAATCGAACCTGAATTTTTTTTTTTAAGGAGAGACGCGCGTTTTATTAAAACGACGTCGTTTTTGCATCCATATGCGCCATGCATGGTGCATACTGATGCACAGCATAATTTGCCCAAACTTAAAGGTCCATCATCAAGATATATATATATATATATATATAGTAGGTCCATATTTCTAACTCGTAGACTTGCATCATAAAATTGGGTTAGGTCTAGCATATCCACATTGACAAATGGGTTCAAGCCCAGAAGCATGATCCAAACGTAAAAACATTACCCATATGATGGAACAATTTGACGCCAAGTATGTACCAATTGTTAAATAATCCTTTATTCATTGGAACGGAAAACATAAGAAGAAATTTGATTTATTTAACATTAAAATTTAAGATTAAGTCGAGACAAAACATTGGCCAATATCTGCCCAAACATCCCTTTCCTGAGTGCAAGAATTCGCAGGATTAATTGCCTGGAGGTGGAGTTGGCAGTGACAAAGCACCACAAACAAGCTTTACTCCAGCCTGCAAAATATTCTCATCATGAGATTGAAATTAAACATAAATATATGCTGCAACAGGTAGAAGAATGGTAAATTGAAAATGATAAATTAAAAAAAATATATATATATAACCTTTTCCCAGAGTTTCCCCATCACAGTGTTCACACCCTCTTGCTGATAAGAACCATCAAAACTCATCCACAAGTGAACGCCCCATTCACAATGGATTCCCATCACCAGCAGATAAAGAGTTCAAAAAGCCCTGAGAACACAAAACAAAACTTGGAAACTTCTGATCTTTCATGTTTAGTGGATTTGTTTATACACACACACACACACACACACACACACATATATATATATATATGTGTGTGTGTGTGTAGCACACAAACCTTCAACATCAATAGCTCTGATCCTGTAATCTCTCGATTATTATGAGTACTTCTGTGTTCCCATTGCTAGCATCACATTTGATTGTATCACCAACTCTTAGATGGGGACTAATGATTTGACATGGTTTCTGGCCTTCCTGTTTAACCAAAGCATAAGTTAGGATAGCTGGAAAGTTAGTGAGAAACCATTCTTTAGATAGAAGTTTCCCATCACTTTTTATTTTTTGGGTTATACCACGAGGTATTCTGCGCATACCCTAATTGTAAGAGTCACCTTTAAAAGACAAAATGTTGACCATATTGATTTTTTCATACAAAGGGTTCGAACTCCTGACCTCTCTTAAGGGACAAAAGTGTACAACGGGTCAGGCTAAAACCAAGCTGGTTTCCCATCATTTTTTTATGGTGGCTTGTGTTTTCCACCTCATTCAAATGGGTGATCCACAATAAAGATCATTATTTTTCAGATTACTTTTATTTTTGAGTGAGAAAAATCAACTACTACTTTTGGAAGGTGTATGAATAAATTAGTTTTGTAACTCTAGTCAAGAAAAGGATCATAAGAAGGTAATTAAAGCAATCTTAGTTGTCTAGAATTAACAGGCTTAAACTAATCAAGAAAGCTAATTAATCAGTAAACGAACTTATAACCTTGTAGTTACAGGTCAGTCTTTCGACCAATTTGGATTAATTTAAGATGATGAGAAAATGGAAAACCCCAAGAAACACAAACAAACAACAGCAGATAGACATATATATTTATGTATAATAGAGAATCAAGCAGATTCCAATTCGCACCTTTCCCCAAAATCCAGACACCTTATCGTACCAGTACCTCCCGGGCTTCATCTTCTCCGGCGGATGTGGGCAGCTTTGCAGGACGGCCAACTCTCCGCCGGAAAGACGTTTTCCGTTCACACAGACACGATAGGAAGGGAGTTGATTGGCTTTGCATGATTTCTCCGACGCCATAATCATTTTAACTTCCTGATCGGAGATCAAGCTCTTAAGCGCTCCAGAACTACTACACTTCCCCAGTGAATCTCGCATGGTTTCGTCGATCCGGTAGCCGATGCAATCGATGCATTTTCTCCCTTCCGGCATTGAACCCATTGCTCCCAGCACGCAGATTTTGCAGTACTTTGCGCAGCAAACTATGCAGCCTTCCTTCTTCATGAACATGTTCCTCTTACCACATCGGAAACACTTGTTTGAATCGGTTAAGACTGCTGGCTTTTCTGGGAAAGTTTCTTCTTCTTCTTCTTCATCGTCGCTATCTGTAGGAGAATTTACAAGGGGTTTGTTTTCTTGGATTCTCAAAACCTCTGCGAGATTTTCTAACATTGTTGAACCCATAATGCTCTCGACCCACCTCTGCAAATCACTTCTTTTTTTTTTTTTTTTTTTTTTTTTTTTTTTCTTTTTGCTGACTACTATTTGGGCAGTTGAATTTACAGGATTCTATTATTCATGTAATTGGAAGACAGTCTGCTTTAGAGACTGTAGTCTTGCCACTACATGTATATAAAAATGAAGACTTTGACTGTATTAGAGGACTTGGAATGAACCCTTTTTTTGGGTCGCATAGACTTGACTAATAAGGCCTTAGATTAAATTTTTAGAGACCATTTAATTGATTCACAGAATGTCAGATTAATTAGAGAAGATTGAATTGCGCGCTGAGAATGTTAGATTGCAGAGAATGTTGAATTTTTGTGTTTGGTTAAAATTGATATGCATAATATAAAACTGTTTGGTTGAAGAATTATTATTTATGTTATACGGATTGTTTTACTTTAATACCCTCAATATTTTTTTTTTGATGCATTTCAATATATGTATATATATATAGTTGTTGGGCCGGGCCGGGTGGCTACATCCATTCATGGTGAAATTGGGATGTGGGTAGTGGGTCATCATGGTTGACAAAAGGGGCAAAGCCTGGTAACCTTATAAATGCAAAGAGCATATATGGCCCAAAACTAGAAATATATACACCGACCAAAATCTCTTTCACTGTTTGCCAAATGGCAATCTTTGAGCCTCCAACATTGCATTCATACGATGTTTTGACGTCAACTAGGTTTGGAACAGCAGCTTACCTGTTAAGACCCTGAGATTGAATAAGAAAATGATATCACATAATTACATTGCTTTCCTCTTTTCCTTCCTTTAATTTACCAAAAAGTTCAAAGTTGCTACTTAAGGATATTTTTCTTTGATATTTTGTTAATTATTAGATAAGTGCATTGATTATTCTTTTATAGACTTATATAGTATCCCATAAAATATTGTAAATGATAAGAGCAAAAGTACTCTAACGAGTTAGCCAGGTTATTAACAATTTAACACTAAGCATAGTTAGTTTAGTTAAGAGATTGGGTATGTTAACTAACTAGAGAAATTATTTATTTTTTGAAAAAAGTGTCCAAATCAAGTGTCACCTGTTCCGCATCAACGCACATGAATTTAGCATTATCACTAGTACAAAATGCATAATTTTATTTCCTCCACATTTTGAATCCACACTAGCAACACGATAGCCTCTTGGACTACACCTATCGAAAAGGAAAAAAAAGAGGATATGTTTATTGGTATTTTAGAAAAGTAGAAAACATAGAATAAACAATGAAAATTTGAGTTCCAAAAGGGGTGGCCAGTAAAGTTGGTCGAACATATTTTTGTACTAGAAGGTCATTAATTCAATTTTTGCTAACACTCTTTTGGTCGAATTCGCTTTATAAGTTATTTAAAATTGGGTTTAATTATCCAAGGTGCACCCACCTTGAGGTAGTAATGATAGATTTCCGTTGCTATTAAAAAAAAAAAAACAAAAACAATGGAAATTTGAGAAAATGAAAAAATAGAGAATTGAAATAAGATATTATAATTACAAAATCTCTCTTACAGACAATCCACTATAACTTTGATTTAAATTTGCATACATTATACATAAACGGCTAATATTTGACTGGTTTATTAGTTTTTACCGTTACTAACAACCAGCAGTAGTTACAAACCCAAAACAACCAAAAACAACTGTTATGTTGGGTTTTACAGTTATTTTTCAGGCGATTAAAACCAAAAATTCAAATGCAAAAACTCACATACATATATAAACTTTCTAATAATCCGGTGCGTGTTCCGGCAGCCTCCAAATCTTCACCGACTTGTCTAGACTTCCACTGTACACTCTCCACCGTCGATCACCTCTTTTCAACGGCTGATCATCGTAGTTGTCATCATCGTCGCCGCCGTGATCCTCTTCCACGGCCAAGCATTTGACTGGGCCGCTGTGACCCGTCAGCACCGAGACGCACGTGTGGATCCCACCGTCCTCTCTCCTCCAGACGCAGATACTCTTGTCCGCCGATCCGCTCAGCACCAGGCTCCCGGCGGCGGCGAGGCAGAGCACGGCGAGTTTGTGGCCCCGGAGCACTCCTCCGAACACCATGTCATTCTTCTCCAGCTCCCAGAAGTTAACCAGCCCGTCGGACGACCCGGCGTAAACCGTCGCCGCGGCGGCGTTGACCGCCAGCGACGTCACCGCATTGTCCTGCTTCAACAACGTGTCCACCAGCACGTGCTTGGTCGTGGTCGGGCCCACCATTTCCCTCCGCCACGCTTTCACCGTCCCGTCGGCGGAGCCCGTGAAAACCAGGCCGTCGAACCCGACCGCCACCGCGTTTATCGCGTCGTCGTGGGCGGTGATGGATTCGATGCATTTGGAATCGGATAGTCTCCAGACTTTCAGCGTTTTATCCCAAGAACCGGAGTACAGTAAACCCCGTTCTTCATCCAAGCTCATGCAGGAAACGGCGTCGTAATGCTTCAGCCATGGAACGTTCTTCTTTGGTTTAACTTCAACGTAAGCTTTGGGGTTAATGGCGGTCTTGAAGTAATCTTTAGTGGTGGGTAAACTCCCATGCCGCTTATACGCTTTCTTCTCATCTCCCAAGAATTTCCAGATTCTGATCTTGCCGTCTTGGTGGCCGGTGAAAATCTTGTCACCCAACACAACAATGGCTTTAACCAGCCCGCTGCTAGACTTGAATCCGGCATATTCCTTCGAGTTTTTCCAAACCCGGATGTTCTTGCTATCCGACCCGGTATATAACAGGTCGCCGGCGGCAGCTAAGGAATAAACATGACCTTCTTCTCGGACAAGTGATCCGATGAGGCCGTTGCGTGTTTTGCGGCGGGAATAATTCTCATTGGTTTCGTCGCCGGGCGAGCGGGGCGAGCGGACACGCTGGCGGTGGTGGACCCACGGGGACCTGACGTATGGGGAGCCGATGGAGAGGTTCCCGCCGGGGGAGTACTCGTCGCTGTTAGGACTGCCGCCGGAGAAGTTTCCGTTTCCGTTTCCGTTGCTGTGATTGAAACTGCGGGACGGGCTTGAGGTTAAGGAGTTGGTGCCGCTACTAGGCGACGATGAATCGTCTTTGTTTCCTGCCGGAAATTCGTGGTGGTGGAAGTGCGGTAGAGCGCATGACCTTGAACGTACATGGCCGCCGCTATGCATACTTCTCTCCGACAACAACAACGTTAGACCTTTGTTCTTTCTCTTTGCCATTAATTGTACGTGGGAATTGAATGTAGTGAATGAGGGTATATATAGAAAGGCAGTTGGGATCGGAAGTCCGGGAAGTTTTGCCGGATAGAAAGGGTTGATTGGTTGAAGGTGGCTGTGGAGATGGGGGCGTATATATAAGCACCAGCGCAGAAGAATGCACTGACAATTTCAGTCCATTTTGGGTACACATATTGCAAAATGTGAAATAAAAGATTTAATAATATTTGCTGTATAATAATTATAATTTTTCGTAGACATTTAATTAACTAGGCCGGTGATAGGTATTAATGTATTATTATTAAAATTCTACAACATCATATATACTATTTCATGTATGTATATTATTGATAGGATTATAACCGAGCTCAACAAATTAAATTCAATACCTGAAATAGTAAATTACTAAATTTAGTGAGTCATGCCTGGAAAAAAAAATCCAAATAGCAAAACAAGAGTCTAATTATGCTGAATTATGCCGATCATGCTTTTAGACTGGGTTGTGGTAATTGTCTAAGGGCATCCTCAATAGTGTGAAGATTTTGAGGGAATTTTACAGGTATGATTAGGAAATAGAAAATGGGGATGAAAAAAAAAACTAAAATTTGAAAATTAAAAAAAAAAAAAACAAAAAAATATTTACACGCCCCACGAGAATTGTGCCTCACGCAGGTGAGGTGCATGTTTCTCTCCTATAGTGGGACTCACCCTTTCTGCAAAATCCCAATTTTAGAACCCCATCCCTCTCTCTGCTCTCTCTTCCACCTTGTCATTTTTTTCTCAAATTTTGTGCAAAATTCCCCTATTAGGGATACCCTAAGAGTAATGACGCGCACACACACGATCTCCAATAAATCACATCCACCAATTCAGACATGCTATGTCAATCCACCAATCTCACATCTCTCATATGCTTTGGATAGCTTAGATATAACATGAGTTTTTTTGCCTCCTCGGTCGACCATTCTCTCGTAAATAATAGACCTACATACCTGACACTGTTAATTATCTTAGGTTGATGCGTTATTGCGTTAAGATCAAATGGATATTGTAAACATAAGATAATATTTTATATGTGTGATTCTTAGTACAAAAAAGTTTCATTGGAGTTAAGGAGTTAGAACACTTTCAATAAGCCCATTTTCTTGTGAAATAAGTAGCGTTTATAGCACTGGGCTAGGGAGCACATGCCTAAAACCTCGCTGACAAGGGGCATGTGGCGCTCACTTATAAGTCAATTAGGTTGGTCGCACCCTGTGTTGGAGCTAAAGAGATTTAGACTAGCTAGTGTGACGACTGAAAGGATGTTTCACGTGCTGCTTATTCGTCAAGTAGAGTCTACTTTCCGATCTCAAAGGCCGGGAACCACACTATTGGGGTCCAAAAATGTCAAACATTGTAATATACACTCCATATATCTCATCACTTCCACATCTCTGTTGTACTATATAAATAAAGAGAAACACTTTACTGGTTTATTATATTATTGTTTCTTTGATGAAGACTCAAACCTTTATTCCGATCAAATTTTTACTATCATTCACAATATTATATTATTATTAGTTCAATCAATCTGCCATTTTTTGTTACTTTACTTTAAATGTTATAACAAATTAAAGGAGTAAAATGTTATAGAATACAAAATATAATTACAATACAACACCTTAAGTTACTTATAATGAGCAAGATTTTTCACATTTTCAACGGTCCATCATCTACAGCCACTGAGCCACCTACGTGTTAAATTCACAGACAATAGACAATAGTGATAAACAGCATGAGACAGTGACGTTGACTCGGCGAATCCAAGCCGCCACGTAAACTGCCTACAGGTCCCAGCCAGTAGCCAAACGGACCGCACTACTTGACCAATTGATACCCGCCACGTGGAAATCTCTTCCAATCATACACTGCCAGGTTGCTGCCCAAGTCATGATCGCGTCATCATGACCTCAGTGTTGGGCAGATTCTTGCCATCTGGCACCTATCTAGGTTCACGGTATTTAAAATTCCGTGAGGGTTTGGTCCTGAGGAAGTTGCAGATTTCCGACACCTGGCCCTTGTGTACCAGAAAACTACTTACCCGATTAACCAACCCTATCGGCTACAAGGAATAGAAGAGCTTTGGGAAAAGCAAAGTTATGATATTATTTGTTAGTATCAGACGTTTATTCACTACGCCAAAACTTATTGTTCGTAGTCCAGATGCAACTTTAGTTCCTCGATCATATTGTCATTATATATTCGAGATGTGAGGTGTTGGACTTAACCCTCCACCGACCAACACCCACAATCTTCTAGTTAACCACTAATTATCAGACTTAGTCATTTAGTGGCCTCCATTCAACAGTAATGCATAATTATGCCGCCCTCGGGTAGGATCTCGCCTCAAACCCAGAATTAATTAACACTCTTGGGCTAGACTCTCAATCCATTCCAAGTTCTTGTTGTTCGTGCCTCGTTCTGTGTGCCCCTTTTGTTGTCCCAAGCCCTTGGGCTAGGCTCTCAGAGTCTCAGGACACTCAAAGTTGTTGCAATGCCTCATTCAGTCCACCACAAATGTTGGTTCAATCTCAAGGACGGTTAAGACTATATGTGGCTGATATATTTTATCTCTGTATTTGTTCTAATTATGCTCTTTTAGAATAGCTGTCCCGTACGCTTAAAAACTATCAATCAAAAAGTATCATTTTAAACAAGATTTTTCTTGCATGAAAACAACTTGACAGAAATAATGAAGGTTGACATTAACATTTTTGTTACGTACGTTTTCTCAAATAATGAAGTCTAATCTCTTTTGATGCATGTGTCAAAAAACCTAATGCAGCCTAGTCATCAATTTGTATAGTACTGTGTTAGTACAAGAACACAAGTAGGCTGAGAGTCGTCCCATGGCTAAAAAGTTAGAAAGAAAATGATAAGTAGACTTCTGATAAGTAAAAATTTTTGTGTGTGCGATAAATTTAACTAAGAGGGTGTTAATAAGAGATAAATTCTTGACTTACGGTACAAGAGTAATACTATAATACTATACCCACTCGACTACCTCTTTTAGGGCTTCTGTTAAGTAACTTGAAAAAGTGAATAAAAGAAATAAAAAATTAAAAACTGTACTATCAGAACAATCACTGCAATAAAAAAAAATTTAAAATTTAAAAAATAAAAAACAGATTTTTATGTCGTATGTATTATTCAGTAATATAATAACATATATTTGTGATACGTGCTGCACCAGCTGTTGGGTAGCGGTCCAACATGTCTTGTAGGTTCCCCAATAATAAGATAAGGTAAAATGGTAATGCAAATGTTATTATAGATTATCTTAGCAATCATGATAGGTTACTTGCTTGCAAGGTAACTATAATATAAGCATGCTCTGAAGAAAGTTGGCAAGTCAGCACCAATACATATGTCTTCTGCCTTTATAGGCATATACATTTTCAAGATTTTCTGCTGGTAGGTGCAGTGACTCATCAGTGAGTGATTGTATTAGCTATGTTATTAAATTTAACAAAGATATTTTATTTAGAGAAGATATTCTTTCTTTCTTTCTTTCTTCTCCCAGAGGGTTGGGGTGAATCTCCAACTCGACCCGAGCATTTGGGAAGATGTAAATCACGGTAATTCAACAGTTCAGCAAATAGAGTCAAATGCCAACTGTCGAGGTTTGAAACTTGATTTCTTATTTTAAATATTGTTTACTGAATCAGTGAGCTAAGTCTGTTAGGACATTTTTATTTCTTCTAGTACGCCAAACTTTGTATGAGCAATTCAAATTTAACCTGATTAGTTGCCGTATTCTAGAAAACCAATAGTGCAGCTGACAAGTGGAATAGAGGGATTAAATTGCCAATAGACAATGAGTGGTTGTGATTATATTAAATTAAACAAGAAAGGAAAATAATATTAATTAAGACACACCATATGTAATACATAATAATTAAATGTTGCTTTTGCTTCTTATAATGCAACTCGTATATAAAAATGGAAGTCGATTGAACATAGACATGTCTCCCGGCCGGTTATCTAACACGTCCTCTGCAACATAGTTTACGCACGTTACTCATACGATTTCTTACGTTAGAAATCGATTATATATTCATGTTGATGATCTCCTGGGCTACTTATTTTAACTTGCCGGCATTAGAGAAGCAAACTAAAGGATATAATATAATTCTTGCCCCAAAAGGGGAAGCAAAGTATGTGGAATACAATTATCGTATCAGTTAACATTGTTATTGCTAATTAAGTGTACTCAATTAATTATGTGTGCAATATCTTATGATACGTAAAAGCACAACTCAATATCGAATGCATTTTTAAAATTAATTTTTGGTATGATAAATTTTTGTGTTCTCACGTAATTTCTATATATACACATACACATGTTTTAGTGTTTGAAGAAGGGAAGAATTTTCTAGACCAACCCATACGTTGAAGATGAAAGCCAAAAAGAGTAACATTCCATTACATAGTGCGCCTATAAAGTTTATGGCTTGGAAAATGAAATATTGTACGCGTGCAGACACACACATATATAGGATCGGACTCTTATGAGAACTAATAGTTCTGTAAAAATGCATAGACTAATTCATTCGTCCATTTAGTATGATCAAGGATTGAAAATAAGGAAAAAATTGTAGTGACATTTCTATAAATACAATGGTGCAATTTGGAAACACTTTCACAATGCGGGCATCCGCGGATAACTAATAGTGCACACATGCGAGCGCAATGTTAGTTATCTGCAAGGCATTGTAATTACAAATATAACCACTTTCTTTCTATAATTTTCAATGCTTAATTATTTTAAATGAACGGATGATATTAGTCTGTCGTACCGACACATTTTTTTATTCAAAGAAGGGAAGAATTTTCTAGACAAAATCATTGAAGATGAAAGCTAAAAAGTGTGACATTCCATTACATAGTGCGCCTGTAAAGTAAAGTTTTAAGACTTGGAAAATGAAACACCACATATATACACTATGCCACTTGGAGCCATGGACATTATCATATATTCATATGGATGGGAGATGTTTGCCATATATATGATAATATAATATTGTATTGCATCTACTTCAATAACAATGAAGGAGTTATAGTT